CTGGAGTGCAATGGCGTAATCTCGGCTCACTACAACCTCTGCCTCCCGGGTTCAAGCACTTCTCCTGCCTCAGTCTCCCAAGTAGCTGGGACTACAGGCACCCGCCACCACACCCGACTAAGTTGTATATTTTTAGTAGAGATGAAGTTTCACCATGTTGGCCAGACTGGTCTCAAACTTCCAACCTCATGTGATTCACTCACCTCGGCCTCCCAAAGTTTTGGGATTACAAGTGTGAGCTGTGATGCCTAGCTTAAGAAATCCATGAAAAATTATTGGGAAGCTGAAATAATGAAATTATATTAAGAAGCTGATTTTTGCCAGATTTGTTTTAATTAATTCCCCAAACAACTTTATATATATTGTTAAATATATTTAGAATTGAGAAAATTGAGTTATAAAAGTAACTAATTTATCAATAATTTATCCAGTTAGTATTTACTGGACACTGCCTACTATATGCTAGGTATTGTATTAGCATGGAAGATATTATAATGAGTTCATATGGATGTTATATTTTAGAAAAGTGAGACAAAAACCCCCAATAGTAAACCAACACATAAATAAAACAATTGAAAATGACTTAAGTACTGTGAGAAAATAAATATAATATTGAGATAGAGAATAACAGAGAAGATTCTCTTTAGATAAAACTAAAGGAAAAATTTTATATTTAACTTGAGCCTTAAAGGAAGGAAAAGAGCTGACCATTTGAAGAGCTTTGTAGACAGACAGAACAACAGGTAAAGGGCTTTGAGGTGGAAAATTGCTTTGTATTTGTGAAACTGGGAGAAAACAGGATATCTAGACCTTAAGGAGAAGAAAATGGAGTTGAAGAGGGAAAGGTAAGTTTTAAGCCTTTATGATGAATATTTTATTCATTTAACATATGCGCCATGAGCACCAACTGATTGCCAGTCATTTTCTTCTATGCTTTGAGATAAATTAATGAACATAATCTCTAATTCCTCTATGCTCATAGGTTTATGTCATAATAGGGGAAGAAAGAATTGCACGTACATCAAAAGATAAATAAAACTTCAGATGGGATGAGGGCTGTGAACTAAACAAAGCAGGGTAGAATAATGTAAAGTACCTTAGAGGAAAGAGATAACTTATATATATGTGGTTTCTTTGAAGTGGTGAAATTTGAGCACAGGCTTAAATGATGAGAAAACAACCATGTGAAGATCTTAGGATAGATCCTCCCTGTCAGAAAAATAAATAAATAAAAAGCAAGTGCAAAGAGCAAAGACCTTGAGCTAGAAACGAACTTGGCAAGTTTGAAGACCAAAATGAAGGCCAATGCCTGAAATAAAATGAGAAAGAGAGGGAATAGAAGCTAAGCTCAAAGAGAATAGGCCTTGAAGACCAGGATAAATAGTTTTTATTTTATTCCAGTTTTAATGAAAAGCCACTGTGGGATTTTAAGCAAATGCATAATAAAAGCAGATTTAATTTTCACAAGATTGCTATGACTTTCTATGGAGAATGGACTGTAGGGGAAAGAAACGGAAAGCAAAAGAGGTAGTTACAATAGGAATTCGGATTAGAAATAAAGGTTACAGGAGCCATAATTCTAGCAGGGGCAGTACAAAGAAATTAGTGGAATCAGTATATATTTTGAGGGGAGAACTTGCAGCATTTACAAAGGATAAGACAGAGAGTTTGAGAGTGATTGCCTGGCTTTTGACTTAATCAGTTTTGTGAGTTGTGAAGCCTTTTACCGAGATGAGAGCAAGTGGTTGAACAACAGGTTTTAGAACCCATGGCAATGAAGTTGAATGTTATTCTAAACACACTGGGAATCTATGTGATGATTTCAAGTAGTAGTGGGGAGATAATTCAATGTATCCTTCAGTAAATTCCCTTGTGTTGCTCTGTAGCAAATGAGCTAAAAGAAAGGGAAGCAAAGATGATGACTCACTGACCAGTTTGAGTAGCAGAGTAAATGATGGTGCCATTTTCTAAAAGCAGAGAAAACTGAAAACATGTGAAAATTTTAGGGACAACAAGAAGTGTATTTGGGACATGTTAAATGTGAGACATAAAATCATGTCTATGAGACATAAAATCTTGCTGACAAGTGCTATTGGATATGTGTGCCTAAGACTTGCAAGAAGTGTGGGCCTAATGTATAAATTTTGAGGTCATCAGGATAAAGATATTATTGAATTTGATGTGTGTGGATCAGAAAAAAAATAGGGATAAAATTTTAAGAAAAAAGGATGGGATCATAACTAATTTTAGGAACATCAACATTTAACTGAGAAATTATAATAATGGACCATGGAATGTGGGGCCAAATAATGAAGTAAGTCAGGAGGGGACTGATAAATAGGAGGGAAATGTGAGCTCACTGAATTGGGGGTCTTTGTGTGATTGAAGAGCATAGGCGTGGGTGTGATTAAACAATGAATTGGATGAGTGGGCTGTGAGAAATCCTAATTTTCTGACAAATGCAGGCTGCAGTTGTGACCATGTGGAAGACAGACTGGATTTCAATGAGGGAAATAATTTGGTAATGAGGAAATAAAATAATTAAGAGATCAGCCGTGTTGGATACTTTATGTAGGTGGATTTTGAATATACTGAGAATAATAAAAATTAGAAAAAAGAATTACCATCCATAATCAAATATTTGAAAAGTAAAGGCTTCTCTTCCTACTTAATAAAACTTTTGAACCAGATTTCATTAAATGACAGCAATTATAGAGAGAGAGCCTGGTCTAGTGGGTGGCGTGAGTCTCAGAGGAGCAGAAGTCATTGCACAAGGCAGGGGAACAGCAATAAGGGGCAGGGAAAACACCAAATGTGCCTCTGTCTCCAATGGATGTGGAGGTAATTGAAAATAGTCTGTAGGAAAGAGAGCTGAAAACCAAGCAATGTCTTCAGGGTACAGTCCAGCAGAGTAGGGAGATAAAATGGTCATTCTAAAAATTAGGTGGAGATATGGAATATGCCAATCTCTCATCAAGACTTCTTTAACACACAGTGGCAGCGTTTAGAAGGGTCAGAATAACAGGAGGTGAGGCTGCAGGGTACATACAACAGTATAGAGATAAGGTAAGTCCATAGAGATGGGAAAAAGATGAAAATAATCTTGATTATTTCTTAGATGAGTGTGGACAAGCTGACACATGGCTGTCATGTCTAAAACTCCTTTAGGATAGCTCTCATGGGATGACTCTTGTTCTCCAGGGGTTGGGGAAGAGGGTGAGGACATTCCTAGGTGGACTGGCATGGGAATTTGCTAAGCTTTCTCACTCTGTAATAGCTTCCTCTAAGATAGTAGAGACTTTGCCCATGAGCAAATATTGAATAGCAGAACCAATTGTTGCACCTTGGTTTATTCATAGCAGCATAGTCTGCCATACCATGTGAAAGTGCCTTCAATAAAATGTGCTAATGCATGGACTCTTTTTGCACTTAGTTAAGCATACAAATTTCTTACAGGGCCTAATTTGCAGAGCCTCACAAAAATTGACTCCTCACCCCTTTTTTATTCTCATCTTGTTCAGCCAACTAACTTACTTACTGGATGTGACTTCTGTCACACTGTTGCCAATTATCCTTTTCCTGAAACACTCCAGTATTGTGTTGGTCTCAGGGCTTTTTACCATGCTGTGTCCTTGGCCTGAAATACTCTGTTTTCAGAGTTTCAAGTATCTAGACTCTTTTTCACCTGTTGGATTATACTTCATCTCTTACCTTCTCTGGAAAGGCTTTCAGGAAATTACTTAATTTTGTCTTGTCTTATTTTACCAAGTACCTTGCAGTTGTTTTCTTTTCTATTGACCTATTTTATGTTTTTATACCACTTAGGAGAATCTGATAATATGTGTTGTATTTGTTTAGGCATTTGTTAAGTGTTTTCTTCTCTTTTCATGAACTTCGTGGCTCAAGGATTTCTATTTATATAGAGGAGGGCTAGCTCACAATAGGCGCTCCATAAAATGATGTTGAATGAATGCATAAGCACTTGATAAAGATCACTTTCTCTCTCACT